CCACCTCGGCTCCGTGTTATGACATAATCAAGAAGATCGGAGAAGGGAGAGGGCGCAGGTGGCTGGCGCGGCTTCAACCGTCCCTAGGTGTGTCGCCACACCTATCTCGGATCTCACTGACTGGGACTGCTATAGAGGCCACCTTAAGAAGTAGTCATTACAGCCCGACTCCCAGTCAACCAGTCGGCCACTACATACAAAAACACACCGGACAGACTGCGCAGGTTGCGTTATCCCGCCAGTTGCCAGCCTTCCAGACCACGGCTTTCAGCGCACCGTGATAATTTTGAGCGCGCCAGCTTGTTCATAGTGAGAAAAATGTGCCGAGTCGTCGATCTCTCTCACATTTCCAATTCCCATGCCCCAGCCACTGTCTGGGCCGTTCAGTTGACTGGTGCGGGGAATGGGGTCAGCTGCTGGCATACATAATAAACTCGTCTGCGTGTACTACATACGCAACCTGGGTCCCCAAACATAAACACGAGGATTGCACACAAAAGGGTTTGAGCGACCCAAATTTCACGTGTGTGCGACTGTCACAGGACACACTAAGAAGGAGTCAGTGAAGCTTGACTCCCAGATCCCTAGTCGGCCACTCCACTCAAACGCAAACTGGGTTGACTAGGAGGTCCAAATGATTTCCTCAATAGGCAAACTTCCGAGCCACGGTCTTTAGCACACAATGATAGGACCACACGCGTAGCAAAGAAGCCACATGAGGGAAGAACCGAGGAACATCCTTACTATTCGCGTGAGAGTTGTTCATTGCATCTTAGGCTGCGTGGTGTTGGCTTTGGTCGTGTGCTATTTAGGTGTTGTTGAGGAGATAAGCGGTGATGTGATATAGCCAGCAATATTCTGCCGCAAGTGTTCATGGAGACTCATGTGGCCTGATAGGCTTATGCGGTGTGTGAATGGGGAAGGGCGATTACCGATGAGGTTGCGGGACGTGATCGTCACGTTGCGCCTTTGCGTTCGTTTTAAAACCTTCGTAGTCAGCTGCATAACTACCAGAAATAATTAATGAAGCAATACGCACATACGAGAAGAAGAAAAGGTTTGGGGTAAAGAAATCGGTTTGTGTGGTTACTTTGCAAGAGAGATAATATTTATCACTGTATCTGCCAATTATATTCCAATATTTTAATCAAGGGTCGGTATCCTAGCACTTTAATTTATGAAATATATTATTATTGTGAACTTTATATTCACAAACTCAAATAAAACCCTGTTCACTGCAATTAGCTCCATCTGCAATGTAGTGAAAAACGGGGAAACTTCCATCGAAGTCCGTTTGCACCATTTTGAACTTCAAGCGGATAACTAACCACCCTATTAGATATTACCTTAATTCTTGAAGGCTAGTTAGTACGAGAATTATATCAGATAAATTTTTAAACAAACCAATATTGAAATTCGGCAAAAAATTTTCCAACATACTTAGGTCGACGCTTGTAAGCCTTGTTTAGGAGGTCAAATACTGCACCATGAACGTCGGGGAATTCTTTTTTAAATGCCTTTTCCATCAGCCTGTCCTCGGCTGCCAAGAGTTCGACTGCCTCTTGTACCCTTTCAATGACATCGCGAACTTCACGGATAACAACATCGAGCTAAAGAAAAGGGCCACAGTTAAATACCATCATTCTTGGGTTTGGGGAGCTTTTAGTTTAAAGGGAAGGCATAGCAGACATGGAAAGATGTGGATGGTGGTCCCACGGTTGCCCCACCCCGCAGTCAGGTTCTTAATTTTTCTATAATTACTTTTCGACGCTCTACCTCAAAATCTTACAGTGAAATGTTGATTTTTGTCAAAAAGAGCCTTCTACATCGAAATACCAGGTTTAAGTTTATCTTATGAAGCACGTATTTAGAACAAGGAAAAGAACTAGAAGGGTCTTAATTGTGTGCTACAATGCACAGGTCTGGTCTAAAACGGCGAATCTAATACGGCTGCCTCAAAAACGGGTCTTTTAGTATGTTTTCCAAAAAAATAACTACAGGACATTTCAAAAAATGAATAACGACAGAGTAAAATAAAAGTTATATTAGGCTAAGACAGATGATCAGCAGGACGTTTAATGCTGATTTTAAGTCAATGATTACTTATATAACACCTGCAAATAATTTCATTGAGGATACTTTTGTGTTCGATTCCCAAAATTTAGTTCTAACATCAACCTAAACCAAAACTGCAATCTTAACTCGAACCGTTCCGTAAACCAAAACTCTAAACTTAAAAATATCCCCAACCTTAACGCTCAAATCAGCGACCACTTGCCTTACCTTAACACCAACTTTAACCCTTACCTTAGAGGTGGTCCTAGATTTAATCGTAACCCTAAGCATAAACCTAACCTTATTTGCCCAGGATTTTGGTGCAAATACACTTGTATTGCGGACAGGCTCTGTTCTCATGCCCCGTTTAAGACGCCATAGAAGTCGTTACTGCCGATTGTATTGACTTATGTTCAATGATATTATTCAGTCTGCCGGTGAACTTTGAGCAAGGAACAAATAAATTTACTTCTTAGATGATTGGGTTTCTAACAGAATAACAGTTCGAAAAGATAATTAACTACCAAGGCAAGAAAACATTTTCTAATTGGCAATTGTTTTTGTCAGTTTCACTGAGGGCAGCATTCATTTTAATGTTTTGTCAAAATTTAGGCAAACATCCAAGTAAATCCATAGGTGGTAACGAGCAAATGGACAAATCTAGACGACTTAGTAGGTCCGTGATTCCAGCTGTGCCAAAATGCAGTAAAATGTACCAAATAGGATACCTCAGAAATATCTGAAAGTATAACCCAACGAAATTTATTTGCGGAAGAAAGATGGGTTTTTAAAACGATGTCGAACACATAAGGAGTATAAACTAAAAGACTGAATTCTCTTCTCGCATTGGCATTCAGCATTTTGGAACTACGGCGAAGTTTGGTCCTTGAACTTTCATTACCTCATGGTAACATAGTTTTCCGCTCCCTAGTATAGGCGTAGAAGGCTACAATGGCAGATGTCCCGGAATTCTGACAAACCATCAGCAGAAGTTTTTCCCCGTTTCTGCCTGAACTAATTCATAGTAAACTCGATCTCAAATGCTCAACTAATCCTATTAAGAGGAATTGACAGATTGAAATCATCATTAGTGTTTGTTACTGAAAATTTATTGATCTTGTAAAGAAGAAGAGGACGCGACCTCTGGAAAGGCCGTTCCAGAGATCGCGTTTTCGTCTTTTTCTTTACAACAAGAACCTGGGGCACGAATATTTCCTTCTATGTATTGTTGTATCGAATTTTTTTGGCAATTTTGCATTTGTGACGAATATAATAAGTTAATAATATAGGGGTGCAATACTAAAAATTCTGAGAACTGAAAAGCCACAAGCTATAAATTTACCTCTTCCAATCGCTTTTGCAGATCTTCTACTCGCTCTTGCAGTACAAGTTCATGATGCCGTAACTCCTCGTCCAGCAGAATTGAGCTCTTGAGTTTCCAAATTTTTACAACTTCCTGGAGGGTAGCAACTTCGTATCTTAACCAAATTGCAAATAGTTCGACCATGTTTTCATTGAACTTGGCTTTCGCTTCATCGATGGCCGCCATATTCTTCCTCATATCGGCTTCCAAGAACTGTTAGGTTAACAAAAAAAGTTAGTCAACTTGCACCCTACGAGTACAGATAAGGCTACTTTTCTGTCGCAAAGAGTTGAGACCCGCCTAATTCAGAGTATGTCCGACCCTTGCTGGTGGGCGTGAGCCCGGATTATTTGGCTAACGGCCAATTTAATTGGGATGCAAAATTGTAGTTTACGCGACTTACTTAGCAGATTTAAGAACGATTGGATTCTAGATTAATTACTTTGGAAAACCCGTTTGGTGAGTCAACTTAGCACATCAGAATTAGTGAATTTCATACGCTGCAGTAGGTTGAGCGGACAACAGCTCAAATCTGGAAAAAATCGAAGCCCTCGGCTGGGAGCTCGCGCATCAGGTGGCTAAAACGTGACTATTCAGACGCTGCCATTGTTATAGTCAACGATAATGCCGCGGAGGACGCCGAATTTGTAACATCTGGGCCAGCTATATTGTTCAAATCTTATAGAAGAACATATAAATTGTATTTTGTTACATACAATAGAAACACTAAAAGCATTACCATTGCTTAGGATCACTGCCAAAAAAATTGGATGAATACAGGCGAATTCGAAAAAATTCCATTCTCTTTGATGTCACTACTGAATACATGGAGGCTCTGTGTTGCCTTCCCAATTTGGCGATAATTTTGGGAAAACGGCGCTCGTCAACCCCTGTCCAAAGTAATACTCTACCGTTTAGCTCAGTTTTCTTATCTCCTTCTAAAACAAAAATGTTTGTATCTACACCTCGAATTCTAAATGCAGGGAGTTCTGTTAATTTTCTTAATTCTTACGCTAAAAACAGTAAAAGGCACTACTTGTTGCCTAGTCGAAACGAGTATTAGTATTTATACAGATAAAGGCCTATCTTGACATACAAGTTGTGTCCATATTTATAAAAATGAATATTTAACGCCTTCCAGTGCAAGAATGTGCGTACTCCTTGATAAAATAGAACGACACGTGCACTTTAAACCATTGGTCTAGTATGTTACCCAATTCCCATCTTCGAGGTTACTTCTGAAGGATAAACACAAAATATTACACTTAACAGAACGCGAAGTTCGAAGAATCACCGAAAGCCTCTTCATTTTCAGTGGATGATAGGAATATGCGCCAGTCTGCCCGATGGTTAGGTTAGCAAAAAGAAAAATGCCCACCGGCACGCCATACTAAGTCATTTTAATCCACTAAAATTTCAGATAACACTAGTTATTCGCAGATTGGCCTCACCGGCACAAATACTATATTCCGAAACTCTGCATCTTATGTTTCCCATACATAACATAAAGTAGGAGTTACATGCATTATTTCGGCCCTTATTTCAACAAAATATGTATAAATCTTTCTATTATTTGTATGCTTCAGTGAACATGAAGTGTGAAGTTACTTGTTAGATCTTTTTGAGAGTAATTTAATTGGTATCGAAGGAACGTATATGCCAGTAGAAAAGGGAGAAGTACAGGTATGCTGCCTTTTATGGGGCATCCTAATAGACGGTAAGATTGATAACGAAAGAGCGCACATTTCTTTTGTTGCTGAGTTTGGTTACTTGCAGTCATTCGTGATAATTCTGACGAGAACTAAGCACGAATGCTTAGCTCCTGTCAGATATATTAACATACAGAGAACGGTCGGGAGGAGGTATGACTTACCTTGCGGTACTTCTCCCTCTCCTCTTCCAATTCCTTCACTGCTTTCAGATAGGCATTATAAATGCGTTTTTCATCCTCCGTCCACTCAATTTCTGGTTTGCCTGCCAGCAAAAATGCCGGCTTCGGAATGTCCTTTTTGAGTTCGTCCTCTCGACGCACCTCAAGCACTCCACCCATCATGTCCTCAAGACCACGCTCGCGCCAGTTGTCCAGTTTTGCAAGCCGAAGTCGTTCAGCCTCAAGGGCGGCCAGACGCTCCAACTCAGCAATCTGTTCCGGCGACAGATACTTTTCCACGTCTACTTCCTCATCGGTTACAGTGAGTATAACCTCCGGCTTCTCCACGGGCTGGAACTCGTACTTTGTCATCGAAACTAGCGGCTTATCAGGATAGAGGTCAGGAAGTATCTGGTTGATGCGAACCACACGTTTGCTGATGCCGCGTATCTCCAGTCGCTTCTTCTCATAGTATTCTTCGAAGACCACATTGAACTTAGTCATCAGTTGACGAATAACTTCCTGCATAGGATATTTGACGAAAAATAATGCGATGATACGTACAATGGCAGAACAATGGGTATATATATACAGAGTGTCCTAAAAAATGTATACACATTTTACCTCTTTTTAAAATTGGTGTTTATCATAATTTTATTATTTAGTAAATGAAAAGGTATTAACGAGTACCATTTTATTATTTTTATCACTGAATGTTTTCAAACTGGCGTCTATTTTGATTACGACACTGCTGACAACGCGACACAATGGAATCGCACACACCATGAAACAATTCTCTTGGTATTCGGGTACATTCATGTTCGGGAGCTTCTCTGAATTCAGCCACAGTTACAATAGTCAAAATGCAGTGAAAAAACAATAAAATGATACTTTTAAATATTTTTAAGTTTTTAAAATAACAAGATTATAATAAACACAAAGTTTACAATTGCATAAAATGTGTATACACTTTTTTGGGACACCCTGTATATTGCGGAGGCTGTAAGAAGTTGACTCGATATTGTCAGGAAATTATACTTGTCGTGCTTTTTCCTTGTTTACTTTTCCAAATCACGTTTCCTATGCGCTATGTTAACTATGCCTATTTTAAAGGCTACTACTCTAGGCAAAGTAAGGATGAAGACTCATCCCTAGATGAAAGACTCAATTAAAAATTCTGCAGCGAAAAGACCGACTGTGAGAGACTTTCTTACAGAAACTACGTTTAAAAATAGATAAAATGGTCAAAAATTCAAATAAAGCGAGTTTGCGACATTTCAGGCGGAGAGGGGCAAACTAGACTGTGAAAATTTAAATGCGTTCACATGGGACCTCGTCTATAAGGAATTTATAGAAAAACGTCTGTTGTAGAGAGTCTACGCGCAAGACAACTACTACAATTGCCCATCCTCTTATAGACGTTGCTTCAGTTATATTCTGCATTTTCGAACCTCTCTGAAATATAGCCACGGAATCATAATATTAGAGAAGACCACCCCAGACGCCGTTGTTTAAAAGGAATTGTTTGGACTAAGAACAACTTTCAAAAGTATCCGGTCTGGATAGGCCAAAAAAGCCACCGGCGTGAAAAGAAGAACCAAATTGGTCCACTCGCCAATAAATAAAATGTAGCTTTACAATCTCTCGCCATCCCATACGCTAGAATCTGTCAGCGACTTTTTTGTGGAGATAATAAAATTTCGGAGGTTGTACAAGCAAGGGAATTTTTGAGCATTTTTGACATTCTGCCTGTACCTACATTGGTCGAATGTCAGCTTATTCGATTTCACACGCTGTCACTGTTCCCTAGGGTTCATGCACGCGCGTTGCCTGTGTTTTGACACCACGAACGGACTAACAGTTTTCCGCAAACAGGTGAGTGAACACTTGGTTACAGCTAGCCTTCTCTTGCCCCTCATCCTTCTCCTCTGAATATGTCAATCCGCCCACATTACTCCACCTAAACGTATAGCACCACATCTCTTCTGAGTCCATGCTCCTTACTTAATTTCCCCAGAACACACTGCTGTGATAATTGTCAACTCTTTTTACTGCTCAACATCAAAATCATGTTGACGCTTCTGAATTTCGTGAGTGGACGATCTGCCTGTAAATATCACGGGGAAATTTTCACTAATTATAGGATCTACGCATCCGCGTAGAACCCCTAATTTAAAGATTTGGTATAGAAAATACAAGAACATGATGGAGCTAAATATAATCAGGCAGCTGCTTGCTAACATAATTGTTTTCTTTTAACGAAAAATCAATCGCCGTTAAGACTACTATCTGTTTGACACAAACATGGACCAAACAATATTTCGCTCCCAACTTCGACTTTGTTGAATTTGTGTGAAGTGACGGTAATACCATGCGAAAAAGTAATGCATTTTCAAAGTCTTTCAGGAAAGCGAAACCAACGGGCAAGATGTTGACTTATTAATGCTAGAGATGATTTTTTAACGAAAGTCTTTTACAGTAGCATGTTAGTTCTGTATCAATCCGGACATTCCAACAACCGAAATCCTCACCTTTATGAGTATGATCTGAGTTAGTTTCTGATCTGTGGTGAAAATCTCAAGCTGTCCATAAAGGAGATCAGTCCGAACTCCAAATTTTTCGGCTGCAAAAAAAACAGAAGAAGTAGACAAACGACGATCGAAATCGACAACAAGTTTGATAAGGTAAAATTTGCTTGGTAGGGCATGCCGAGAAAATTAGTGAAATTTTGACATCCTCCCACAGTGTTCTCTTAATTTAAATTCGTACCTGTGCCCCCAGCTTGAACCAAATTCTTTTCTTCTGGAGCTTGTTCCTCCTCATCTGCATCTTCTGATGAGGCTTCACTATCCTTGAGGATGGACAAAATACTGATGTATACACATCTGTACATTAATCATTGTCGGAATGTCGACCATAATATCGCAAAAAGAATTTTCCAGTCGTTGAGAATGTCACATATCCGCCTGGAAAATTGACACATTCAAATTGCAATTACAAGGGCGTCTCAAACATTGTTTCAGGAAGCCTGAGTACTGCAGCTTAATAGACTAGCGGTGAAGCCAGCCTAGATTATTATTGAAACGCATAAAAAGCCGGCCAGGAAAACCGAAATAAATGCGTAAGAGGACATACGACAGGGGACCAAATTGCAATCATTCTTGATGTTATCTAGAGCTAGTAAGCTGTGATATTGAAATTGCAGTTTTTTGACTAACTTGATTTTAAAATTTTGATAAACAGTTCACTCATTAGTATAGGCATCAGAGTTTGGGGTCAGATCGGAGATAAATGCATTTGAAAATTTGAAATATTTGATCATAGAAAAAGCTAAGGTAACGAGGACATTGGCGATTTTTCAATCAGTACTTAAAAAACGCAGTAAACTGCGAATTATCAAGTTATTTCGAAAGCAAAACAATTGAGTGCGTTCGATAGTTTGCAGGCAACATTGTATTATATGCCCCTTAAAGTTACCATGCATGGAAGACTAGGTCAGGGCGCTTGAAATCCCGTCAAATGCAAATTTGAAAGTCGAAGAACTAATACAGAAATGCGATAAAAACTAGAGCTAAGGTTTAAAAAGGTTCATTCTGCTTATTCCAACAAACTGCCGGCACTTGATCAATTTCCCCTATAAATAAATCATCGGCTTTTTATGCTCCGCTAAAATAGCCTGTGGGAATCAGGTCTTAAACTGTCAGTCTTTGTTCTGATGAAGTTTAATGCTTAGTAAGCAGAAGTTTAATAGTTGGTCCGTTTATGCCCAACTAGTTAGTGAACTGGACCCTTCCACCCAGTTATCGGATCAATCCAGTCTAATGGTAGACTATGGAGTACCTTTATTGCATAAAAAAATGACTGCAGGTTTGTTACGCAGAAGAAGTCGGAAATACGAAATTCAGATGAAGAACCTGAAACCCTGGTAGTTTTCCTCACCGAAAAGAGCTGCATTAAAACATAGTTCAAAACACTAGAAATTATAAACTAAGACTGCCGGGTACGTTAGAGTTCGCTGCAGTCATAAAACTTAAGTCTAGTCTGAACAGGCTTTAAACAGTAAGGTAAACCCTAAAATTACTAGATACAGATTTTGATTCGTACTGATATTTCTTTGGTGGGAAATTGAAAGTTATACTTAGAAAGAAACACAGCCATTGTTAATGTATGAAAGGCGTTCAATGAAAGAACCGAATCCATATTCATAATTGCTGACTGGTAGCCGAAATTCTAACACCATCAACCCTTTGCTTCCCCACCTTGAAAGTCGGAAATAACCATACTCAGACGACGTAAGTTATACAAATTAGCGAGACTGCGTTCATTCTCATTGTAGGAAAATATAGTTTAAACTACTTTTACTTACTGTCCCGTTTAGGGATAGGGCTAAAAATCCACTTCACCAGTTACATCATTGACCGCTAGATTTGTCACATGTAGATAGCAGGAGGTAAATTCACCAAACCTAATAATGCCCAACTAACATGCTTACATACAAGTCCAATCAGTATCTACTAAGACGTGTGTGGAACTACTTTCTCTGAACTGGTTCAATGACAACCACGAAGACACAGAAGACAAGTTAAATTATGTTGGAAACCTATTGCCAAACATAGACGATTTACTGAGGCAAACCTCTCACGCAAAAACGGTGTGAATATGGATACACTGGGATGTTTAAACGACACTACCCATTGACAGAAATACAGGAAATCAATACTTAAATGAAATAGCCTACTCTGGTGGACTCCTTCCGCACTAATGATTGTGCTTCAGCAATTTTCTGACGGAATGAAGATAAGTTGATTTCCACGCGACGCCGGATCTGAGCTTGCTTCAGCAGTTTTGTTTGTTCCGGTCTCATCTCATATAAGGGGTAGTTGTCGACTCGAATCGGAAAGTCGTAGGCCAGAAGACTCCGACCCTTGACTTGGTGACTGTCCCAACATTGCTTCTTGATAACATCGTGCGTGAATCGTTTTATCAGGTCATTGCACATGATTTCCTTACGTTTCTATAAAAAAGAGTCAAATATTTGTTTTGATAACTATGACGAATGTTTTAATGGAAGTTAATTATCTACGCGTATATGGAGTAACTTTCCAGTGTTACAGATCTTCGAGGAAGTTAATTACGAAACAACCTATTAAGAATATTTGCTTTTTCAAATGCGCACCTTGATAACATGAGATAAAATGTGAATACGACGGTTCGACTGTCGGACGCGATGACGGTCATCGCGTCACCTACAGTGTGAATGCAGCACCAACGGCTTGCATTGCTTCTACTGTACTCTCTCCTTCCTCACTCATCCAATGCGAAGAATATTTAATTTTAGTTTTTTACTTTAACACTCTGAGTAGATCGGTACATTCAGGGATCTCCAGGCACAGACCGAATGTTTTATATAGATATTTGGGTCAAAATGTGTCAGCCACTGCGGGATAATTGCGTAAGATTCACAAGCTGCCATCAAGCAGTCAGTATTAGTGGCCTTTAGCTAGTATCAGCGCTGCTATTATGGTCAATAATTACGCAAATATATGTCAAGATGGCCGGAGGTAGACCCTGACGCGATGTCTGACACATCAAGACAACCCACCCACGCGTTACACACGACCTGTTCACAGACGCACGTAATAAGCTATTGCAATTTCGGCTGGTATCTCTCATGCAGGAGGGCAATTAGGGTTACACTGAGTGGTCATTGCGACAAACCTTCAACTTTCAAACTTTATTATTCTGTTTAGGTTTTAAGTAAAGAAATTCGTAGTAACTTCCTACAACAGACGTTTCTATAATAGCCAATTCATACGTGTAGTGATATTTATGCAGATAAATTGGCAAAAGTAGTTTATGCAGTCCCACTCATTAATCCCTACTTCCAGCAGGTTGTCCTATGAAAACGGTGTTTCTAGGGTTTTATGTGTGGGGAATCAGGATACGCAGTGAAATTTACTTTAATAACTGCTATATCTATTTTAATTTCATTGTATTTTGAAGTGTTGTTGATTTATATCTGTAGATTTCCCTAATCTGTATTATCGTTTA